AGAGTAGCACAAGTTGCCCACGCCTTTTGACTCCCGTACAAGTCCGGCATCTCGATAAGATCTGATCCCGCCATCGTGGTAGTCTTCAACATGACCATCTACTTAGGTTCTGGCAAAGTAATTGGAACTTTCGAATCCAAAACACCCACAGTGCGACAAGGTGTTCGATCGGGCCAGACGTGCGGGTGGGATGGCAGGCTGCAGTGGCCCACGGTCGACAGCCAGAACAGCATCCTGCAGTACGAAGCTTTTACATTTCCAATAATCGACCAGCTTATTACTCTGTAAGCCCCCTTCCCCCGTGCCGCATCTTCTTTCTCTTGATCTGATACACCATGACGGCTTTTCCGTCGTCTGGTGGCTTCCAGGGCTCTTCCATGTGGTGCTGAAGCAGGCGTTCTCGGGAGGCATACCGGCCATCCACGTCGAACATAGCGCTTTCGCTTTCTTTCAGACACTTGTGCGGTATCACATCTAGATAATTGTGCCTTGCCTCTTGTCTGGTTTGGTCCGGGGTACCGAGGATCATGGGCATACGCCAAAGCAAGGACGTGCCTTGTTGAGCGAGTTCGGACCATCGCATTCCAGCAAGTCGTCTCGGAAGAGATGAGATAGATGTTGCATCACAAATCGCATCTGTCATTTAGGCGACTCTGCAGGATACCGCGCGGTGCGCCTTGGCAGTAGGTTTTGCGAATCCCACACTCACATTGCCTGACCTGCCCTGGACAGAAATGGCGCCAATAAATAGACAGAATTATGGCGACATTGACCATCCTGTTCTGTGCTACGGCGGTTAACTGGCTCGTTGGGATGTGCGCGCTGGCTTGCCCAGTCTGGCAGGTCGGGACTGGTTGTTTGATACAAGCAGCAGAAAATGCACCAACAAATCAACCATCGGCCAGCTGAGGTGGTGTCCGCTGGTGGTCTGTCTCTCTTTCAAGGCCGACGTCAGGTACGCTACACTATTCGTACTGTCTATACCCCGTACAGATATGTGACTACGGATACAAAGTACCGGCTCGAGGTTCAAAGTTCAACGGCGGGGCAACGCAGCGACAGATGCCAAAACGCCAAGACAAATTTTCATGCCAACGCTCGATGGGGCTCTTTGGGATTGCACTCGAACCTGCATGGCTTGTCCCTTACCTTATCTCAAGGTTGGACAAGGTCAGGGTTTGCACGAGATGTGCGCCGATGCTCGCCTCAACTAAACTCCATGGTTTGGAATTCCACGAATTTTTCCAAAGTTGCAAAGTTGCATTGATTGTACGGATATTTGCGCGACAGCTTCTTGTTTTTTCCACTCCTCTTCTCGGTCTGCCTTGAAGGGCGGCACGGTAGCCACACCACTATTGCCGCACAAGACCAAAAGAGGCACCGCAGCCAGGCTCCTACTCGACGATCATGCACAATGACGAGAGACTCGATTCCTAGTCGCAGCTCTCACGTTAGATGGAACGCCCCTCCTCAGATTCGAGAAGGATGGTGTGGCTTACTCCAAGTTGATCGCGCACGTCTGACGTCTTACATGAACGGTCTTACTTGGAGCTTCTTCTTCAACACAGCAATTCCTCTCAACCCCGCAGGAGCCAGCAGGAGTAGCATCATTATCAGGGTATGTCTCAATCATCATTGAGAGCTGTGCATACTGCAGGCGAACTCCGGAGGCACAAGTCCGGGAAGTGGGTGGGAAGCATCAAGTTCTACTTGTACCTAGGCGAGCGAAACCTTTTACAGTTCAAACTTGCCTTCGGAGCATTTGAATCCAATTTCTTGGCCATAATTCTACAGTGGAAGAGATGTATTACGGAGTATGGACCCGGGCCAGAGGAGTACAAAGCAAGCAACAGCTGGATTGACGACCATCCACAATTTTCATCGCATTCCTGAATCCCTTCAGCAGCTGTCTTTGTCAATGAGTGACAAGAGGCGAACCGAACCGCTTGGCATCCATAAGCAAGATGATGCCAAGACCACAGTCGCCAAATTACGACAGTGGCCGCGTCTGTTCAAAGATGAACAATAAGACGGCAGGTTGTCTGATTCATGCCGGATGGGACGTTTCTCCTATTTCGCAGAGGCGCAAGAGTTCAGAGTTGCAGTTGGGTTCTCCAGCGCAATCTTGGCCTGCTCCGCTTGTTTGTTTTGGCGCCCTGAACACGTTGGCTCTGCCTCGAATACCAATTACCATCCCGTGCTCCCCTCGCACCGGAATGGCGGGTGCCCACTACTTAATTCCGTTACCGACATGAGAGGCATCGGGGCCCTGGCCGAATCGGACGGGCATGGGCCACCCGTGGGACGTGGGTGAAGGAGACGGCGCCACGAAGGTCCAGACTTTGGAGTCTCTGAGTCTTTGAGTCCTTTTCTGGAACTCCACATCCCAGCTTCCCGCGAATACCAGAAACCTGCTGTTTCTCCATAGTCGGTCGGCCTTGCCTTGTTGGCTACTACACACGATGCCATGCCATGTCATGCTATACTTTGGATTCGTGCCCGTTTTCGGTTACCGCTCTGGGCGCGCCCCAGATGCCCGGTCTCTTGACACAAAGTGAGTCGATTCGCTTAGCAGGGGTTTCTTTTCTGCATTGTCATCATCATTCCGGTACTTGATCTCCCGGCCCTAACCCTCGAGGAACCGATCTTGACCTGCGGAATGCTTGAACGCCTAGATGTGCAATAGTGCCCACAAAAATACCTGCCGCCTTCTTTTTACCTAGTGCACGTCTGTGGGCGGTCCTGCCGCGGCAACCCAGTTCTGGTGAAGGCCTAACAAAGACAAACCTCCTCTGGATGCCTGACCGCAGTCCGATTCCAAAGAAACTAGCCGCTCTAGATTTGGTAGCCTCGATGCCTGAAAAGAGCAGAATTTCCATGCAGCCGACGAATCCGCGGTCACGGCCAGCATCAATTCGTGGTCAACCTAGGAGTACCACAGCTTTGCTCCGGTTGCTTGTCTGCCAACCATCCGAGAGCCGACGAAACATCAACATCCAACCATCAGCCAATGCCGTCTAGCACCGTCCACCATCCGACCCGAGGCCTCTTCACCTCCGCATCTTGCCCCGCATCACGCAAAGCTGCCGGCGGTATATTCACACCTTTGGATTCGGCCCAACCAACTAACAACTCAAAAAAAGAAGCAGTCAACTACGGAAGACACAAACCTTATCGTTTCTCATCCGAAGGGCCAGTATGCTTCTTGACTCGCCAGCTAAGCAGAGTCCCAAAAGACTTCAAACTACCTTTCCAGACCACTGCGGTAGTTGACCTCCAGCTGAGCCGGAGGTGGCCTTCCAAGCTGTCAAGTTTCGTCAACGACATCGGACCCCAGCTGACCGACTCTCAACCCGCTCGGTTCCCCCTCTTAGACTCACAGCTCGTGATATTCAGCTTGACCTGGCCACCCCTTCTAGATCCTAGATTCAGGTCTAGACTCTCCCAATTTCAACACAACCCCAACCACAGCTACAACCACAGCTGCCGATAAGTGAGCGGCCAAAAACGAAGCACGAGAGTCCACCTTGCCCCCTCATTTTGCTACATACCGCCCGCCCGCCTGCCGGACTAGACTGGAATATGTTCTCCGCTATATCTCGCAGCGGCAAGGTATCATCTAGTAGTTTATCTCTGCATGACCAACCGGCTGGCGCGCCGCCATCAACGGACGTCGATCGAATGAGGCTGAGCAGCTTCGGAGCGTGGGAGCGAAACTCTCTCGGCAACCACTGCAACCCAGAAAACTCCTTGATGCCCTATCATTCAAACGTGGGAACGAGAAACATCGGGTCAGCCTGCGGGTGGCGATCTGACACTCAACCCTCACCAGAGGCAATTTGAGGCAGCACCCTCATGGCCCCGTAGGCTCTCTCCTAAACCTCGAATTTTCGATTCCATCGGCGGCCTCTGTAGCTTGAAAAGACGTCGTGTTCATCGGCACTTTCTTCAAATCGAATATGCGCTCTAACTAATAGGTCTCAGCTAGGTCACATATGTGACACCCAGTTGAAGAGGCAACCCGGTTCAGTAGGTGTATCCCAGGCCAGTCATTGAGGCTGTGCTCGCCCGCACAAGATGTTTCACTGCAGCCAACCACGTGGTGGTGTGTAGTACCCCCAATGTCTATGAGATTCAACCTGGTGTCACCGAAACAAACCGTCGACAATTTCCCAGACTTGCTCGTTCTCGCAGCGCCCGCCGCGCAATACTATTGTCCGGGATTCGCGGGCTGTTGTGTGTGCATGTGTGTAACAGTGTGAAAAGGCGTGGCGTCAGTTTGCCTTCCCGCCGTCGACGGGCTTGCGGGGCCGCAAGCAATAAGCGGTCAGCCTACAGTCCGAAATGTCCGGCTGTAGAAACCAACTCACAATAGCTCTCTTGAACGAGCACATGACATCTGAACAAGTTCAATCTCACCCAAACCTTTCTTTGGCTCGAGTAATATTGAACAATTGACGACACAATAATCGAGCACTGTTCTTTGTGTAGGAGAGAGAGAAATATGGTTTGGTTGTGCGTGTGTACTTTGCACTACCCCTTCTTGGCAACGCTTGGCAGACGTTTAGATACTGTGCTCGCATGCAGCATTGCCTCCATCGCCGAGGAGAATTTTTTTAAGAATAAAAAAAGCCAAGTCGTTGTGCTTTCCTTAGTTCCCGCAAGACTTGGCATGCCATACAGCATTGGCAAGGCGTTAGGGGGTGATCGTTGCGTCTTGGCAATTTACGACATCACGGGGAATTGGCGTGATGATTATCTCAACGACGGCCAAGGTAGGTGAATAAATTTGAAAAACATGTCCCAGAGTCTTTCCTTGTTCAATCGTTTTTGAAAGAGGAGAAAATGCCTGATCTGCCTGCCAAGAAATTGCGTGATGGTCTGGTAATGTTTCCGATGATATAGCATTGTGATGATATTTTGGGTTGATATTTCTTGGTGTTTCTAGATTTGAATATGCGCGCAATGTACCTAATGTCGATACTCTCTACTTTTTGTGTGTCTGCCTTGCCTTTTGTTTCCAAACTACCATCCGTACCTACCGGCGCCCCGGTCTCTGGCCCAATCCCAAGAAGGGAAGCCGAAGGGTTCAATGGAAGCAGAGAAACGCCTTACCGTCTACCCAAATCAACCCGTCTAACATGAACCATGTCTCCATCTGCTGCAGCACCAACACCACCGACGGGCTCAACACCAAAGAACCCACCAACAGCCTTCCTCAACGTCTCCTCCCAGAACCCGGCCACCACGCCCTTGAGGTCCCCGCCCGTCTGCTTGAAGTCCGGGAACGAATTCACCTCGAGCAGCCAGGGCCTAGCCTCCTGGTCGACGAGGAAATCCAGCCCAAACACCTCAAACGCGTTGCCCAGCGGCTGGAAATGGATCGTCATCTCCCGCGCCGCGGCTTCAAAGATGTCGCCCGTGACGTCGCATATCCGCTCAAAAATGCGGTCCGCCGTGGCGGCGGGGAGACCGGAAGAAGACGAAGACGAAACCAGATCCCAGAACTGCTTCACGGGCGGCAAGGCAGATTCGCCCCCTCCCTGTAGGCACGTATTCGTCAGGTGACCGTCCAGGTCCGCGTCCTCCCACGGCGCGCGGTACGTCTTACCCGCGAAGAGCGCCAGCATCGGCTTGTAGACGTAGACGTCGAGGCTCCCGACGCAGAGGACGTACGTGCGGATGTGGAACTTGCGGGCGTCGGAGGGGAGGAGGAGAGGCGGGTGGATGTACGGCTGGGCGACGAAGTGGCGGAGGTGCGAGGTCGTGATGTAGTCCCCTCCTCCTTCGCGGTCACCGGCGGCGGTAGTAGCCCCTTCTTCCTCATCTTCGTCATCGCTGTCAGGCCTCTCCTCCTCCCACTCATCAAAGATCCCCTGCAACTCCTCCATCGAGCTAAACAGCCGAATCCCCTGCCCGCGATCACTCATCCCCGGCTTCAGAATCCACCACTCCTTTCCGCTCTCCTCTTCGATCCCTTCGTTCTTGTCCATGCTCTCCCGCAGATCAAACGCCTCGACGAGCGCATCGTCGAGGAACTCGGCGTAGTCCACCTCAAAGTGCTCACCGCGCTTGACGTGCGTCTTGAGCGACGAGGAAGGGTGCTTGGCGATCCAGTGGTCCACCGTCGACGACAGGTAGTGTTTTCTGATCAAGGCTTTGCGGATGACGTAGCTGTTTACGAGGGACGTGGTCGGGTGCGCGGCGACGTGGTCAAAATCTAGGGACTCGTAGGGCGCGATGTGCAGGATCTTTGTGTCGGGCGAGGGGAGGCTGGCGGTGAGTTTCACGGCGTTGTCGGCGTCTTCATCGGTAGCGGATTCCTGCGGCGCGGGGAGGAGAGAGTATGCTCCCGGGAAGAGGCGTTCCATGGCCTCGAGGATGAGCGGTTGGACGTACGGGTCCTCGTAGTTGATGATGGCGTGGAATCTTGGGTTTGCGACTGTCGTCTCCGTCGTCGTGTCAGTGGTCGACTGATGTTGGGCACCAAAGGTGGAACTTCGCATGGGAAGTCTGGTTGACGAGCGAATGACTTCTGTCTCTGCCTTTGCAGGCGCCTCAGCTTGCGGGCTGTCACTACAGATGAAGAAAGGGGTAAGAATATGATTCTCGTGATGATTTATTGTCTTCTCCGAAAGCGATCGAGAGCGGTAAGAGTACATGCCGAGCTTGCCCCCAAGAGGAGTCCCTCTCTATGTCTTGATCGTCTCTTTCATCTCTAGCTGTTTACGCTTCATGCATTCGTGTAATAACGTGTCCTGACATCCTACCCCGGCTACATTGCCATGTCACGCTCTTTCTCTGTCTCTGTATCTCTTTCTCGCTGATACAATGTTCATGCGCGCCTACATCTCTTTAAATATCAAGGGCTCACTTACAGAATCAGCTCCTTCTGGTGGAGTTCCTGGGCGGCATGCCAGAAGTTGGCCTTCAGGGGCGTCACACTGTGTGTAGTTAGCATCCGCACTTCCAAGGAGGCTTCAAAGTCATCAATATCCGGTCGTGGCATCACATACCTCGTGTAGCCCTCCTTGACGGCCCATCCATCGTTGCCAGGAGCAGCCTCCTCAACGCTCTGATAGACATCTGTGAATCTCGGCGCCCACTTGAAGTGCTTGTGTCGATGGCCCTTGGCAATTTCACCCCCAGCCTTTGCCTCCTCGCTCTGCTTCGGCTTCTCAGCAGACGTCTCCCCAAACGCGCCCTCGCGAATCTTCTCCTCCTCCTCATCCTCGTCGCCAGCATCACCCTCAATCTCCTGGAAACAGCTGCCGTCGCGCCAATAGTTCTGCAACATATTCGTAAAGTACGTCTTGTGCGTCTCGACGCCCTCGACAAGCGGCACGTTGACGCTGTACAGGTCCACCTCGTCACCCGCAGGCCACTGCTGGTACAACTTCTCAATGACCTTGACCGAGTGCCTCGCGGCGCCCTCGATGATGACGGGATCGTGGTTCCGCGAGAAGAAGGCGTAGCTCAGCGCAATCGCCTTGCTCTTACACACCGCGGCTTCGAGGGCGCCGCCCAGCGTGCCGGAGCTCAGCGCGAACACGGCCGTCGTGTTGCGGCCGTAGTTGGGCCCGCTGACGACGAGGTCAACGGGCCCGCGCTCCTGGAAGAAGTGGTGCAGGCCGATCTGCACGCACGACGCCGGAGTGCCGTCGACGAGGATCCACTCGTCGTCGGCGCCGTTGGCTGAGGGCCGGGTTGTGGTCGTGCCCTCGGTGCCAAAGAGTCCCTCGGTGGAGGGGCGGTAGTAGAGCGGCTTGACGGTCTGGCCGATCATGTGCGCCTTGCCGATCCAGGAGCGCTGCGTGTGCGGGAGGCAGACGGAGACGACATGGCCGGCTTGCTGGAGCTGGTGGACGAGGGAGTGGACGTAGGGAGAGGAGTGAGGTGATGGCGGGCCGTCGTCATTGGTGAGGAGGATGTGCATGGTGACAGCTGGCTTACGCTTTGCGCTGTTGAAGTGAGTCGAGTCGAGTTGAGTTGAAGGTTGGTTGGTAAGGTAAGGTCTGAAAAGGAAGTTGAAAGTCAAAAAGATTTCGGAGTCGAGGAAATTGCCCCGCGGCAAGACGTGGATGGCGGGTCTTGGCTTAACACTAAGGTGCTAGATGACCACGAGACTATTTGAGCACGAGTTGGAAATCTTGGACAGGAGTCACTCGATGTCGTAAACACCAGTAAACGCTATGACTTTCACGGTGAGGAAGATGAATTACCACCTAGTAAGTGAGTGAGTGTCTGGATGAAGGAACTCGAGACAGACTCTCAGAGCGCAAAGTGGGATGGAGGGGTTGCAATAGTGGGGCAAGTTGACGTTTGCTGGACACGGAAGGATATCCGGTGCCCGCTCTCGGAGGGGAACGGCACCGCCAGCCAACGTCGGGCCTTCCCACATCACCGACGTGGTCAGGCTCTTTCTTGGCCTAAATGGGCATCCGGGGTGAAGAATTCATCGCAAGCGTATTCCCTAGCTGTACGTCATGTTACGAACTTGTTTGTAATTGAGACTCACTTCAAAATTCACAGGCAGTTCAGAAACGTAATGATGCTATGTAAAATCGTTCGTGTTGTTCGTGTTGTCCTGGTCTGCAGACTTTTGAGAGCTAATCGCAGCCCTCTTCCTACACGCAATCTCAGCCCTTCCTTGATGGAAGGCTTAACAAACGCCGTAATCCCAATCCTTCCTCGCAGGCTTTACAAATCTTGTCCCATACCCAGGGAAACAAAAAGTCTTAGTAGAAAAAGGGCATCCGACTGAGGATACCGCTAGTATCCCGCAGCCACTTTTTCCCTTGTCCAGAAAGTGAAGTAAAGTAACCATTACACAAAAGCCTATCGAGAATTGTGCTTTCCTCCTCCCATAATCCTGATCGAAGCGAAGTAATGACCCAGACTCCAAGTCGCTAGATTGTGCAACGATCGATACTTAAAGATGAATTATTCGTACAAGTATGAAATCAAGTACGAGTTCGCTTAGGAGCAGAAGCTTCGAGCTCGTCGCCCGCTCGCTTCGTAGCACTGCTTCCATGGCGGCTCTTGACACGCGGCCAGTCATCAAAGGGACTCGCGCGAGTCTTGCGTTTGATCGGTGACGGTTCTTCCGCCTTCAATCCCGAGCGGGTGGTGCGTCTGGTCGACGGTGGGGTTGCGACCGTCTGGCCAAACTTGGGTGCCTTGGGAGTTGCTGGAGCCTCTTCTTCAACCTCGGCCGGGGTCTCTGGCGCTTCCTCAACCTCTTCGTCGTCCTCAAGATGGTGATCTTCGATGTCGGTAACAGCTTCCTCTTCCTCGAGAGTGATACCTATCGCAGGGGCCTTGGGTGCGACAGGGAAAAGTAGGCGCGGCTTGATGGCAGAACGCGTGAGCGGTCTACGAAGGCGAGATTCGCTTGAGCTGCCCTCTTCGTCGTCTTCATCTTCGGGCTCAGCGAACTTGCGGAAGATCTTCTTTCCACGGCTGTGATGGCGGTTAGCGAAGTTCTTTCTTCTCTCTTGCAGATGTGTGAGTCAACTTACAAAACATACACCATGCCGTCCTCACGCTGAAGCGCATCGTCAACGCCTTGCGCTGCTTCTCCTGGAATCGCGACTTTGCGCTTGCTGCGGCGGCGCGGAGGCTCTCTGTCGACGGTGACGCTATCGCCATAAAACGGGTTGTCCACGCTGGAGTCGGGCACAGGAACCCGGTCTTGCGAATCGGTGAAGATCTCAATCTTCTCTTCTACTTCGGTTGCCGTGAAACTCTCCAACGAATTGCCAGAATACTTCTTCGGGGTTCGCTTTTTCTTGGGTGTGACCAACGCCTCGTCGTCGTTGGCGAACAGATTGCGCGCGACCGACTTGATGTGCGCAGTTTGCTTCTCGGTAGGTGCCTTCTTGGGCGTCTTGGCTGGCGTGGGCAGCATGCCACTGCGACGAGTCGAGGCGGTGTGGTTCGATTGGCGATCCATCTTGTCAATACCGAGCGACGATGAAGCGTGGGACGAGCTGTCGGCGGTTAAAAACCCAGAAGCGCGACGAACGGAATCTTGCGCAGGTTGGCGCTTCTTTTGAGGTGTAGCAGCAGGCGACATGATAGCTGCGGCTGCGGAAGGTGCGATGGGCTTGCGAGTTGATCGAGGAGGAGTGCGGTGAGTTGGTGGTTGCGGAGAAGGAGTTCGGTTTGCAGCTCGACGAGATGAGATACGTGCCGACTTGCGAGGTGAATAAGGCTCCCAGTTGTCGCTCCAGCCGTGTCTGGGTGTCGGTGGTGTGCGAATGGAAGGGGGAGGTGAAGGTGTTGATGCTGCGAAGGCGGTGGCCATTGTGTCGAAAAGGGCAGGCAGGCAGCCCGGGTCGTTTGGTGGTGGTGTACCGTTCCTTCCTATTCAGATTTGTTGACTTCAATTGCGCATGCAACTGTTGATCAAGGTGAGAGGGCGCGCGGATCGTTTTTTTTTTTTTTTTTTAACGTCGGGTTGTGGTTGCCCCCAAGGTGAGGTGGTGATGATGTTAGAGGGGGATAAGGTGATGTAGGTAAAAGACTCTAGATGGACTCCGGCAATCAGAGTATCAAGAGATGAAGCGACCTGATGAGTTTGAACAATACCAGGCAACTGCACAGAGGTTAAAACGGTTCAGTTTGTGATGTCTCTGGTTGCTCTGGCTACAGGTGATGTAAGTGAGAAGTGGATGTGTGGAATGGGATGGATGATGTTCGCGATCATGGGGCGGCAGTTGGGATGCAAAAGGAAATGGTCTCAAAAAACGTGGGAAGAGGCTGGAGGCTGGGAAATGTAGAGGCTGGGGACGGGGTGAGGTGAGGGTGAGCCGAGTGTTTTGCAGCGCACCAGCCCCAGCCCCCCGTTTTGCACCTGTACCTCACCACTCAAGCCTCATTTCTCTCTGTAAATTAAGCGAACCCCACCATGGCAGCGGGGACGCGTTGACTACTCAGGAGACGCGAATTTTCGCGTAAAATCAACAGCGCTCGAATGGGCGAGCACTGTCGCTGTCTGTTGAAGTTGCTGTACGTAGTACTACCTAGGTAGGTAAAGCACAAGCCACTGTACACCTATTCGTACCTTTGGCACCGCAGTGTCTCCACTCCCGAGTGCCCCTCACTCGTTGCATCCCACATTTTCCCCCAAGCGACCGGAGACCTCTAAACCAAAAGTCTTGATCCATCAACAAATAACGTCACACTCCGTCTTGCGCCGCGCTTCCTAACAGTACAGACAAGCTAGACTGCGCTTCCAACGGAACGTCCCCTCATCTAAGTCTGGACCGACGATCGCCGAATAGAACAGAGCCACAACCAATCTGTAGCTGCAGCTGAACGCCAAGTGCCCCTACCACTATGGCAGACTACACCGACGATTCCATCACGGAGGATATATGGGCATCTCCAGGCCCCGAGGGCAGAGGTGCACCTCCCTCCGAGCGGCCCGAAACCCCTAGAACACCAAAGACCCCCAAGACACCAAAGACGCCCGCAAACCAGACCCATAACGCCCCTTATGATAGAGAGGCTTCTTTGCGGAAAGAATTGGAGGGAGTGCGGAACATCAATGCTGCCATCGAAGGCATAATCAGCACCCTTGACAAGGCCAAGGGCAACATGAATGTGCGCCGCCCCGCGAGAAGCTTCTTTGAAATGAAACCAACTGACCTCGTCTTCTAGACTGTTGGCAGCACCGTGTCAAATGCATCCACACTCCTCAACACCTGGACCCGAATCCTCTCCCAAACCGAACACAATCAGCGACTCATTCTGAACCCCAACTGGCAAGGCGCAAGTAACGACTTGGTACAACTGGAGGCAGAGACTCTGCAGAAGCAGCAGCTTGCCGAGAGACGGGCGGCTGAAGAAGAGAGGCGACGCGAAGCGGCTCGGAGGAAGAGAGAGGAGGAAGACGAAGAGCGACAGAGACAGGCGGCAGTCGGCAGTGCACCACGTGGCCGGGGAGTTTCTCGTGGGCGTGTGCGAGGCACCTCATCGGCAACCCGCGGTCACAGCTACTCGAGTAGCACATCGAGGATCGGCAGAGGCGCGGCGAGCGTTCGTGGTGGATATCGGGGCCGAGCTAGAGGTACGGAGTAAGGGGACGATACATTTTGTTTGTGAACGAGTACCGATACCCAAAAATGAATGCATTCAAATGGTCGGCCGCCGGCTAGCCTATTTCTTCTTGAAGAAGTCGCTCATTTTCTTCATGCCCGTAGTGTTGACCTTGCTCAAGGCCTTCACGCCTCGCGTTTGGCTGGCCTTCTTCTTCTTTTCCTCTTCCATCTTGCGCTTCTTCTCAGCGCGGGCCTCCTCCTCTTCCTCGTCGAGCATGCGTTTCCTCGAGTAGTCGGCCATGGAGCGAGATGAGGCAGCTTCTGCGCGAAGCTTGGTGAGCTGGACCACGTATTCGTCCAATGGCGAGAAGTCGACGCCTGAAGTTTCCTTGTCGGCAAGGAGCTTCTTCAGAATCAACGCCATGCCTGGCGCAACATAGCTTGAGCAGATGAAGTTAAAGGCAACTTTGAGTCGTTGCAAGCTGGTCACCTCGGCGGATGCTAGGATAGCGCTAACGACGGTTTCTTCGGATGGTTCTCCATCGACAGACGTGGCTGCTGTGGAAGCATTGGATGTTGCTGAGGCTTTGCTATCGACGGTTGAGACGGATGACTGGGATTCGCCAGATTCGTTCGACGGTGTTGACGTATTCGCTTCGTTTGCAGCCACTTCCACCTTGACAGCTTGTGACTTCTGAACTTGAATAGGAGCTTCCAAAACTTTCTTGACAAACTTCTCGTCCATGCTGGCGGGGAGTCCCTTGGAGCTCATAGACCGTGCCTTTGCGAGAATCTGAAGAACAAGCTTCTTCTCACTCAGCCGGTACATCTTCTCATCGCCAGCATCGACTGTATCACACACGACTTCCATACGTGACTCGAGAAGCGCTCTCGTCTTGGGGCATCGCAGAGCCTCGGACATGTGAGAAGACGAAGTCGAGACTGCATCGAAGTGGTCGTCGCTGGAAAGGAATAGTCGCTTCGTGTCTGTTGGCTTCGCGGTGCCAAATAGGCCTGGAACCAGTAGGAACAGAGGATCCACGGCTGTCGCGACAAAAAGGTCGGCGCCATTGGTGACTTGGGCTTCAAGCCGAGATTCGTCCTTTGCGTCCGTCTCCTCCAGTGTGCCAGCGGTCGTCTCAATCATCCAGCTCCTTGGTGTCGTCTTCGGCGCAACAACCTTTGTGAACTCGTAGATGCCTGTCTCCGGGCAAAGCAGGTAGCGGGTGGACTTGGAGTAGCGAGGGTTGGGAAGAGAGACGATGCGAGCCTCACGCGTAGCTTTTTGGGGGATTATGAACAGCTGGGGAGCGCTTGACGACTCCTCAGGTAGAGTGTATTTGGCCGTCGAAGAGGCATTGCTCGACTCGGTCTTTGCCGCCGGTGCGGCCTTGGTCGCTCTTGTTCTCGCCATGACGAAAGATGATGTGTGTATAGAAGTTAGGTCGATGATGTACAAGGAGTGATTTACACCAAAAACAGACCAATTGACCCAGAAAGAACGGCTGTTGATTGTGTGAGAGGTCCAAAGAAAGATCTGGTGGTGGGTTGAAGTTTGTATGGAAGTAACCAAGCTGGTGGTGGTCAATAGTGAGTGGGACGAAGATACCTGGTACCTTCCGCTGAGATCGGTCGTCTTTGGACTTAGAACCTAAGGTAAGGTAGTTAATAGGACCGACCCTTCCTTCTGTCTGTGCTGTGCTCTTACGCGACGACGCGCCGGGTTCAATTAGAAAGTGGATCGCGTCCTCTGGGGCTTGACGCGACTACAGCCAATGGCAAGAGGGAAAAGTCATCGACTACTCCACGTCAAACTCCTCTTCTCAGGCTAGTCTGACCAGGCTTATCGTGACGACGAGGTTCAGATGCGACAATTCGATAACGATTTCGAGGCATTCTTACCGCACTATTCGCACTCTTGCTTTATTTTGTTTTAGGCGGTTATTTGGCTCACCAACTTCGACGTCACTCCTTTAGCCGCATCTCACACCCTTCTCATCAGTCGCTATCGTCTCCTTTTCTTTGTCCGCTTGCTGTTTATTTGCCAGCACAGACCCCTCGTCTCGACTTCCAATCCAGTCTTGCGCCAGACGAAGCTGACAAGGCCGGCTGGCGGGTCATGGGCTTGTGGCGTTGAAGCTCCATCAAGCGGTCTTTTCCGGAAGGCCGACTGGACATACGACAGCTACGCCCTCGACTACACCATTGTGATACCCCGGCAAGATGCCTCCCGGTTCGTAATAAATGGACATTCTAAACGATCAACATCATAACATCAACATAGCCCCCCCGCCCGACGAGCCTCAATGGCCTCCCCGATCTCCCCACGAAGCCCTCATTAGCACTCCCAGCGGTCGCGAGCGCCTAAGACGTCTTCAAAATCGAGGATCACCCTCTCCTTCACCGTTAAAGAGGGGACGTGCAAACTCCACCTTGTCTACACGATCGGCGAATTTGATCGACGAAATGGACGACCAGGAGGACGAGGATGAGGAGACACTTCAGTTGAAGTTGCAGGAGATTCAGGCAAGATTAAAGTTGAAGAAGTTGCAGAGCGCGAGGGAGAGGACGGAAGCAGCTCCACCGACTCAAACACGACCAACCTCGAAAGGTTTTGGAGTTGGCCGGGCGCTATCCCGACCTGAACCCCAGGCCACCATCGAGGTGCCTGTGTCTCCAATCCGAAAGACTCAGCCCGCACCACCAAAAGCATCGCCGACTCGGGTTGCGCTTGGGATTGACAAAGGGATCAAGAGAGCACCAAGTGTGTTGCGCAGGAACACAAATCCCCAAGATGGGCAGCAGCAGTTCGGCGGTTATCTCCAAAGGTCACGGACTCCTGCTCAACAAGAGGTATCACGACCACTGAGTTTCAATGAAAGGCTGGCCGCAGCAAGAACACAAGAGGTCGACCGACAGGGATTGAGGGAAAGAGTCCAAAAGGTCAGGTCGGAGACTTTTGATATCGGGCAGAAAGAGATTGAGCAGTTCAAGGAAAAGGCAATCGACATTCCCGAGCAAGAGGAAGCTGCGCCGAGTTTCTCCAGAGATGAGATCCTTGGTGGAATGAACAGAGCAGAAGCCAACCAGCGCAAGCTAGACGCAATACCTGCTCTTCCAGCTCCATCATCCTCCAAAGACGACGATGACCCCCAAGGCCTCTACGAGCCTCCACCGGACTGGATGATGGCTGGACAGAAACCACAGAGACCGAAGAAGGTCGCGCCAGCAGACGTACCAGAAGCCGAAGCATCAGCATTCGAACCGTACTCCAGCTTTCATCTCTCACAGCGCATTCTTCCCCACCAAGTCTTGACCAGGACTCTGTCTGGAAAGAAGATATTCAAGTTGCCCGACTTGCTGCGGAAGGTTAAGGCTCCAGAATTTCAGCTCCCAGACATTGAGCAGGACATTGTCGTCTTCGCCGTTGTCGCAAAGAAGTCAGAGCCCCGCTCTCACAAGCCTCGAGCTGACCAAAACGGCAAGCAGTCAGACCGAGGGAAGTACATGGTCGTCACATTATGCGATCTCAAGTGGGAACTTGAGCTTTTTCTCTTCAACTCAGGATTCACCCGATTTTGGAAGCTCACAGAAGGCACAGTGCTGGCGATTCTGAACCCGACCATTATGCCACCTCCAGTTGGCAGAGAAGCCACTGGGAAATTCAGTCTAGTGATCAACTCTGATGTTGACACAATCATGGAGATTGGAAAGGCCCGGGACTTGGGATTCTGCAAATCCATCAAGAAAGATGGCGAGTTCTGCAACTCTTGGGTCAACAAGAAACGAACCGAGTTTTGCGAATTTCATACTAACGAAGCTGTCTCCAAGCAGCGAGCAAGTCGCATGGAGGTCAACACAATGGACTTTGGCGGTGTTGGAGAGAAGTTCAAGTGGAAATCGAGACAGCTCGTTAACCCAGAACCCGAGAAGAAATCGGGAAAGTACGACCGAGAAACACACAGCCATTGGTTCGCTACGAAGTCAATGAGTTCTGCGTCACTCATTGACGGAGGTCAGGCACTTATGGACAGAAGAGAAAAGGAAGAGAATCTGAAAAGAAGGATGATTGCTCAAGAACGCGAGAGGGGCATCATGTCGCGGCTGAGTAAGATCGGCGCCGGCACTGGAAAGGAGTACATGCAACAAACAGACCGCAATCGAAATCCCACCTCTGCGTCAAGTTTGCCGTCATCTTCGTCAGCTTCGAACGTACTCGGGGCGCGACAGAAGCCTGATATCAAGAGCTTAGGCATTATGCCCAGGAATAGGGAACTGGCCCTGCACCTCAGCCCAATCAAACGCAAGAGACCACAGAGTGCGCAATCCAGCTCCTCGATCGGGGCGCCGTCGTCGGCGACGGCCGCGACAGGGCTAAAAACCGGTTTTGGATGGGGTGGCAATCTCAAGGACAAGCTCGCCAAGATGAAGGAAGGTGAAAAGCTGAATAGTGATAAGCCGCCAGTGAGGAAGAAGACGAGATTCGTGACGGAGAAGGGGATTCGAGAGGCTGGGAGGGAGAGTCTGGGTATGGATCTGCCGCAGGCGGTTTCTTTTGAAGATGACGATGACGACGATTTGATTATTGTGTGAAGGCAGCATTTTTTTCTTGGGAATGGGGTCATACGGAGGCGACACTGGCCGGACGGGATGGGAAGGTATGGGCTTGCGGTTACACAGGGAGTTTTCCCTAGGTATGACTCCTGGATGGAGTCCGCTTGAAGCGATTATGGTCACCAAATACAGGTTACAGAAAAGGGCTTCAAGACAGGATATCACGTCAAGAAAGACACTATTTTGATAATAGTCTGGCCGTTTATTTAGTATTCTTGTGATCACACCTGGCTAAAGTAAGGGAAGGTAAACTGCGTCTCTCTGCGTTACATCAATGAAATGAACGAGGAAGCATACCTGTCGCCATTAAAGTTCACTTGAGCACATGATCCTCATCAGGGCGATATATGAGACTTACACCGGGAGGTGAATGTGACTTCCTTGAAATGCCTCTCATTCACCATTCAGCTTCTTGTAACTCATCCCTCTAGCCATGAATCGTCAATCATATTCAATTTCTTCACCAAAAGAGTCCTAAGCTGTCTCCTTTATACACCAAAAACCAACCAACCTTCCACTCCTCCTGGTAAGAGCACTCCAAAATAACAAACATCACACAACAAAATGAAAAGACAACATGTAACCCCGCCCGGCCCACGAGCCGCGGCAGTCACTCTTCTTGCCGCTCGAAGCGTCAAAGCTGCTGAGAAAGTCTTCTGCGCCGACGCAGAAAACATCGTGGTTCACCACATGAGCTGCGATGACGCCCCCCGCGGCACCTTCTTCTTGTTCGCCAGTGTGGAGGAACACGCGATTGGCAGCTCTGTCGATCCAAAGGTCGTTGATCTATACGACAGTGCTGACTTTATCGACCGCAAGTACGCCAAAGAGCAGCGTGAGCTACGAGAACGAGACTTGGAGTCAAGAGGTTTTGGAAGCGTGACGCCACGGGCGTGCGGTAGCTAGATTGACAGTGAGAAGAACACTTGGAAGCAGATAGTAAGAAAAGGGGAATCGGAAAAACAAGAGACCAACAAGGATCCAAAAAAAGAAGCTGCCTGTGGCCTTATGTAGGACCACCAAATTTGAACTCGCGCTCTTGCCGAAACCAGGCATTACCTTCCACCACTAGGTCATATACACATCAGGCGGTGCTTCTTGCTTTACCATTCCAATTCAATTGAATATAGAGCATGGGCAGTGATTGTATTGTATTCCATGCGAGAAAACTACGGAACATGAGCATCTGAGTATACGTCTGTGAATGCCACGCGCGGATCCCCACTCTCACGTCTTCGACACAGCTACATAGCTCGGCGGCCTTGCCTCTTTACTCTTCCCCCAATCAGACTCTTTATCTCCCAGCGTCAGTTCCAATGTCTTCCCCTGACTGAAGAACTCATGCCCGATCCAACTCTTGGTGTACGCCTCCCCGTCCAGCTTGGCACTCTGCACGTAGATGTTCTTGTACGCAGCGTCAAACCCGACACATTTGATAGTGGCATTTTTCCCCGTCACCGGACTTTTGACACTGACTTCCTCAAAGAACGGCGGCGTGATGAGATAAACATTTTGTCCCGCGACTGGGAACAGACCCATGACAGAGAAGGCAAGAAAAGCCCCCATGGCACCCGAGTCGTCGTTACCCGGCAAGCCGCCACGCGAAGAGTTGAAGGCCGAGGGGATGTACTTGTGGATGCGTTCCGCTGAGAGGCCTGGGCGACCGGCGTAGTGATAGAGATAGACGGTCAAGAATACGGGCTCATTGGAGATGTCGGCTAGGGGCGAGGCGTGGAAGTAACTGAGGCGGGAGACGAAGGCGTCATCACCGCCCATGAGATCGATAAGGGTTGACGTGGCGTGGGGAACGATACTGGAGACATATTAGCTAGATTGTAGTCGCCAGTAGTCGGAAGGGGGTACTGACAATTGATATTGCCAGATGCTCGCCTCGAACGTCTCGCTCGGATTTGTCGTCAGGGAGCAGAACCCAGCAAGGTTCGAGCAAGCTATGGGATCTTGGTAGCCCCATGTTCCGTTCATGTACTTGGGCTGGAAGAAGCCAGTAAATCCG